CACACACACACACACACACACACACACACACACACACACACACACACCTCCTCTGTCATTTGATCAGCTTGTTGCCAACACTTGGTTCCTGCTCTCCATCTTCAGACGACTTTTCTTTTTAGTACCGAACTACTTTCCTTTCTTTTTGTCTTTTTGTGGTGGACACACACGTCTACACTGGGCTCTGCTCTGCAGGCCTTCCTTTACCATTCTCTTTTATGCTTCCAGCAGAAGTTTTCACGTCTGTGTGGACTAAACATTTGCTGCTCGCACACAACAGGAGGGAAAAAAAGTGAAGTCCTCTTCAATTGATTGCTTCTCGGCTCGCTTCAATGAAATATTCAAGTGTTCTTCTGTAGATCTGAGTGAGTGTGTGTGTGTGTGTGTTATTCCTGTAATTCAATAGTGTGTGCATCATGGTTTCAGTCTGTATCAGAGCTAATTCAGCCTGTATCTTCTAATCCATTGACTTTGCAGCATTTGCAATTCAGCTGGTAGCTTTTTTTTTTCGCAGCTTGTGTTGTGTGAGAGCATTTGGCAGCGAGGTGCAACAGTGTGTGTGTGTGTGTGTGTGTGTGTTTGTGTGTGTGTGTGTGTGCGCGCGCGTGTGTGTTTGTGTGTGCCCCTCAGGCACGTTGGCAAGCATGAACTCCCTGAACTCAATCCTTGTCCATTAAATTCCTATTGATCAAGCAGCAGCAGAGAGAGAGACATAAAGTTCCATCTCCCCCGGTTTCATCGGGGGGCTCGCCTTCGCTGTCGTTTTTAGGCCCTCCGTCCACCCCTCCTCTTAGAAAGAGGAGCAACAGTGGAGGAGGACGGAGAGGTGAAGAGGAGGAAGAGGAGGAGGAAATGCACAAAGATTGGTTGAAGTCTTGGCAATCCATTAGTGGAGATGGATGGAGAGGGGAAATGGGAATGAGATAATAGTTTATTACTAATTTGTTGTCAGGGCCCAGACAAGAATCATGTGTGAATGTTTATTTTTTCTTTTTTTTTTCTTTTCTTTTCTTTTCTTTTTTCTTTTCTTTTTTTTTTTTTGAAGTTTTTGTGCACACAAACAGATGTGCATGTGTGTGTTTTAGTGCAAAGCATGAATGTGTGTGTAAATTTGTGTGAACAGAGGAGACTTCCATTTAGCAACGCAGCAAAGCGGCACATATCTCTCCACCGGGAACTATCCTTGGTTCTGATCTGTGGCCTCCTCCTTTTCCTCTTCCAGCACACACACGTTAAGCACCACCC